GATGGCATCCCTTCCCTCCAACGTGTCAACCACACCACACAGTTGGTGTTGTCGGCAAATACTTCTATATGAAGTATTTCTAACACTGCCAAATGTCACTTGGTGGTTTGAATATTGTTCATGTTTGAATGTGCTCTGTTAGCTGCATAAGGTGAGGAGTTTTAAAAGAAGGTGATCTCTATAGTGTCCCTTTGTGTCTTCCATTTACATATTGTTCTAACTTCCCATGTTGTCTTCCCTCTTTCTGGCCATAAAATGTTTGTAGTGAACTCTGTTCAGACTGTCAGAGGTGTTTCAGGGAGGAGTACCTTAGCAGAAGCAGAGTCATGTTTCTTGTTCAATCAGTGGACAGGTTTGTGCACAGTGATAAAAATATGTTCCTGATGAAAACTGTGGTGAGGAGGAAACTATCAAGAAATTGCTAGATGCAGATGTCATGAAGGAAAACTTGAATGAGAAAATGGTATCATACATTCAAAGTACAAGTAAATGTTGTTTGTAGATTCAAAGTAAGGTTGTAAAGATTAGATTGCCCTTTTGTTGGACTTGAGCCTCCTCACTGACATTTAGAAGATTGGGCCCTGAAGCAATCTTTTTACTGTTCCATCAGATAGGTGGGGAAGAGACAAGATCACAAAACAGACAAGTTATATAGGAACCTCTTGCACAGTAGATATTTGAAGAGTATTTGTCTCAAAATATTGTTTGCTTGTTAACTAAAATGCATGTTTGTCAGTGTTTGGGAGGGGGTGAAAACAGAATATTGTTTCACGGGAAAACCACTTCTGTGACATGATTCACGTTCTAGATGAGATTTTTCTGAAATTCACTTAGTTCTGGATGCAATTATTGTGTGTATGGACTTGCTTCAGAAGGAAACAATGTGAGTATGTAACCCAAAGCCTTTTACAGAATTCTGACCTTGCACTTTGGAGCTGATCTGATTTCTTGTCAGAATTACACTGCCGTTATTTTGTAAATATGGGAAGTGCTTTAAAAAAACAAACGAACAAAAAAGCCACACTGCAGGAGTCTGTGCCTGAAGAATCCTTAGGAGACATCTGGCTTCTCCAGATAATCTAAGAGCTTTTTGATGCAACTGGGAACTTTGCTGTATATTAATGCTATTATTCAAGGCACAAAGACTTTACTTAGTGTCACATTTCCTGTGATCTGTTTTCAAAAAACATTAATTGGGATGCTGAAATGCATAGGAAAGGGTTACCAAATTTATGAGTGATAGCATATCTTACAAAGAAAAACAAAATCTGGAAAGGTAAGTTTGTTCTACCTAGTATCTTAAAGGCTGTTGGGTATAAGGTGGCTGTTAATAAATATTCAAGTTGTGTGAGAAACATGCAGTAGGAAAAAATACTGTTTAAGCTGAAAGAAAATGTTGGCACAAGTGTTACAAGGTTGTCAATGAATGGACAACTGGAAATGTGACTGTTTCTAACACTCAGTGGAGTGATGGTCCAGGGCAAGGAAGATAGCCTTACTTCCTCTCAAAACAGAGACTGAACATATTGTTAAAGTGATTATATGATCTCATTATGAATGCAGAAGGCTAGACTTAGCGATGCAATTTGTGATTTTATGATTAAAGTCTAATTGACATGGAGAGCTATATCAATTTAACGATTAAAACTGAGTTGTGAATTAAAATCACTGTTTATGGCAGGATAACCTTGAATACCTATGGAGCAACTGCTTTTATTATCTTGTGGGTAAATAGCTTGTATGCAGCAAACCCTTTGATACAGTTTACTTTCAGTTGAGAAAATACTATTGGGTAAAAATTCAAGAAAATCACCCTTATGCTTAAATATCCAGATGAAAACTATATCAACTTAACTGAATTTTGTTTTGTAGCTGGCAGGACTTTCTGATGTTAATTGTTGCTACTTCTGAGCATATGAAGCAGTCTTTAAAGTCCATCTTATCCAATGACTCTACTGCATTATCTTACTAAAATGGAACCCCTGCCAGCAACAGTAATTTAAAATGCATTTCCCATTTTCACAAGGACAGACTTACAACTGCAAAGGAAATGTCCAGTATAATCAATAAACTACCTAACATTTTATTAGCAGTTTATGTACACTGGTGAAAATTGGCAGAATTCCATTCATTTAGATGTGGTTAGTGATTTATACAGTCACAGGGCTAGAGTCCTCAATTTTAGGGGGTAGGAGTGAGTAGCAGGAATCATATGAAGATAAAAAGATACCACAAATAATATGAGCAATGACAGAACAACTTCTACCAAGTAGGTTTGTTTATTTTTTTACAAGTATATTCCTTTGGTAAGGCTTCAATTTTGTAAGAAAAGAATTCGAAAAAGGCTGCTTAGGTATTTCAGATATTTGTAAATGTTCTTTTTGTATTTTAAGAGGAAAGAAATACGAGAAGAGACACATTGAACTGTTTACAGACCTTGGTAGTCCTGTCAGTGAGGATCAACTGGAGATTATCATTGCTAACTTGAAGAAAACAGGAATTTCACTTCAGTTTTTGTAAGTATGAAAGTGGCTGTTATTCTCTATGCGACTGTTTAAAGGCAAATTATTATTTTTTCTTAATAACAGTCTTAAAGGAGCTGGTGATGTGTTGGTGTATTGTTTCTGTAGAGGTGTACCAGTATGTAATATGATCATTATATCCAATTACACATGCCATGAGTTCCAGTTATTAACCAAGTCCCCTCGATCAAGTGATGTGCAAATACACGTTAAGGTGATGGCTGCTTCTCCAGTTGAGCTTACAGCTTAGAGCCAAAGCCTAAAATGAGAGACAAAAGATCTAAATAACAAAGACATGGGAAACAACGGGCCAGAAATAGCCTCAGAAGCAGTGGTTTTGTCACAGCATCAGCCTAGATCCTTTTAGGTAAGGGAGTTACTGGGAAGAAATAATGAGGTGGTGTTGCAGGTGTTTACAGCCTGATTCTGGTGTCAGTAGAAAAGCAAGTGTGAAGAGCAGGGTTATACTCATAGTGATAGGCTTGGATAACAGAAGCCATGTCTTACATGTTATGACAGGAATCCCTCGGCTGTCTCGATACAAGCGCTGATCTGAAGAATCAGTGGTGATGCTGAGATCTGTATTAGTTGTTGCACATGAGGGTAACGTAGGAAGCTACAGGCCTCTAGTAGGAGTTTATTTAAAAGCAAAACTTTGTGTGAATGTTAATGTTTGCTTTTCATAACAATTTCACAGAGAAAAGTTAAAGCTGCAGTTTTACTTCTGACCATTTTAATGCTTACTTTCACCTAGATCCAGCATTCTGTAAGGAGCAATGTTGTGAACTTGATAAATTAATTAAAGCCATTTGTAGACCCACCTAAACAGAGGGGTTAGCTAGGAAAGTGTGGCTGAAAATCATGGGCTGATCCTCCCCAGAAAAAATATTTTTTACCTGTGCCTGGGAGAGGCTGAATGTGAAAATGTCACTCTACTCTCAGGTTTTGTCTGCACAGCAAAACAAGGTATGCTTGCAGCATGGCTTGACATGCCCCTTCTAGGTTATTTGAGCTATTGTTGGCACTGGAGGCAGTGGAAGCACAATTCTGTGAACCTGAGTACCCGCTGCCAGCCAGAGTCACATCTTTTACAGACCTGGTATTTAGCCCCAGCTACCTTGTCTCCACACCTGCAGTTTGCTATGCAGACTATGACAGATGCTACACTACAATTTAAGGTTGCAGTTTTATTCTGTGGGATTTCTGATACATCTTTACATTTTCTTTGCCTGTAATGTAGCAAAGAAAAAGCCCCATGGCTAACAGAAACACTAGGGAAATGTTCCTGTTATGGCATCAGCTGCAGATTTACACCCTGTCTCCCAGCCACACAAGCAAATGATGCTTTGAGAAATACCCGTACAAATGTAAAACACTCAAGATACTGATTTAAAAATAATTTCTTGCTAAACCTTGTCCTTTCATTATAACCCATGCTTCCATCTCTTACGCCCTGATTACTGATTAGGTTGTAACTTGTGGTAGGTAGTTGGTTTTCCTGCCTCTTATCACACAGTTCTCATCACAGGAGTCTCTAAGCACTATATCATTGAAGTAATCTAACTTTTATGGATTAGAGTTTTGAAGGTTTTTGCTCTTGTAACAGCTTTAAAATACAGTTTCTCTTCGTCAGTGGATGCTGCTTCCTAAAAAGGTACCAAACACTGCTGAAAGTTGATCTTTAATTCTGCTGTATGTGACACTGTAGTGCATATTCTTAACTCTGCTTATTCTATGTTGCTCCGCAGATAAGTTTAGTGAGGACTAAGGAGGTGAAAGTAAGGTTGAGATCTGTAGGCTGCTGTTTTTGAAACATAAAATTCTAAAAAAATGCTAAAATTCTTTTACTTTGTGGAAATGTGGTAAAAGGAATAAAATTGGATCAGACGAAAGGTTTGAAAAGTCTGCAGTCATTGTCAGGGACACAGAGTAGAGGCTCTTACATGTCTCTCTTTTCTGTGGTGGTTGTACTTAGTTAACTCTGTTATATTTTGAAGAGCAGCAGAATCATTTTATCTATAACCCCTGGCTAAATTTTAAAATCTGATTCTTGAAGTATGGGAGAATGTGTCATCCTCAGTCAGAAATTCACCTAGTGTTATAAGCCATTAAAGTCTCAAACACTAATAACATTTATTCCGGAAATAACTAACAGCCCCACCGCAGAGAAAGTCCCGTTTCCTGGTGTTTAGGGCCGACACAGAATCACAGGCCTGGAATGGCCTTTAACAAGTCACCCAGAGCAACCCTCTGCTTCAGACTGGGTCAGTTGTATCTACGTCATTGCTGAGCAGCATTTGTCTTATCTTTTTACAAAGATTTCCATTGATGGAGACTCTTCTGTCTCCTCAGGCAGTTGGTTTTAGAGATTATGATTTGAAATGCCTTTATCTGACCTGGCTCCATGATGTAATTTGAATGCAGGCTGAATATGAAGAACCAGTTGTTCCCTTCCTCTCTGCAACAGCCTTTTATATTTAAGACTGTCTTGCTCCCTGTCTCCCTTCTCTATGCGCTTTTTGTTCAGTGTTTTTTCATAGATCTTGTTTTCTAATCAACATTGTCTTTATTCCCTAATCCCTTCCTGTATGTGGACATCTTTATTGAGGTATGATGCCCCAAACTGGTGCAGCATGCTGGTCAAGATGTTACTGATTCCAAGTTGACCTGAAATACTACTTCATGTGTTTTGCAAGCATCTGACTGCAGCTAGATAGAAGTTGTTGATCCTGATACAGTTTTTGTTTTGGTTGGTGATTTTAATTAAGAAGAAAATCAAACTAACTCCTTCTGCTTGTTCTTAGTCTGCCATTTCCAGTGGATGTTGATGATGGAGGTGGAGATACAAATGCCAGTGTACATCCTGGTATGCACAGAAACTCTTTTCCGAGAAAGGGCTTAACTGAGCAGCAGAAGCAAGGCATTGGTGTGGTGAGGAAACTGATGCATACTTTGGATGAAGAAGGAGGGCTGGAAGAAATTTATACTTTCAGGTAAAATTAACTAATCCTTTTTATCACACTGTAAATTTACTTTCTGATTTCTTCCCTAAAAGATGAAATTAGTTAAGCAATCAGTCACTTGGCTTCCAGTTTCTCTGAAGTCAGTGAATTTTATAACTTATTGTACACTCAGTCCCTTTCAAACAGCTTCTTCAGTGCCTTTAGAGTAGGTAGAAAGGCTTGCAGATTTAAGTGGAAAATTAATTTTCTATATCTGTATTTAAAGAAAAAAGTCAATTTTCTTCCATCTTTAGTATTGATGGATTTTGGAGGGAATGTTTCTATAAATGAAATTTCCAACTCTCTCCAAGACATGCTTTTGCATTTGTGACATAGTGCAGGTAAAACATTTGCATTTAACGGTAGCTTTTGTTCCTTAGTCTGAGACTTCTTGTAGCTCACTGGTTTATCAAACTCCCACAAATGTTTTGAGTAAAGTTGTTTGTTGAATCCCGCTCTTTAATCAGACTACTGTGCCGTTATTGCAGACCATATACTTTTTTATCAGCATTATTAATGCAAGAGTTGAAAGATGGCTTTTCACTTCATGTTTCCCCAATGAAAGAATAAAAATATATGTGCATCTCTGAAAAACTGTAGCTAGTGATATATCCAAGACTTTTCCACATAGGTGTTGCCTCAGTTGGGAAACAAGCAAAATGCATCTATGCACCTTATAAAAGTCTTGATTTTATTGGCTTAGTAGTTCTGTTCTGCAATTATGAAGTATGATCTTTTAGACAACATGTTTTTCAGGAAACTTAGTAGACCATAGCTGTAATGTGATTATCAAGTGTAATTTTTAGATTAAGTACTTGTAGGTTTGCATGCTGTTATTCATTGTTTTATTTGTGGGATTTCCTTCCCTCACCCTGCCCAGTGGATCTGCTTTGCATCTCAGCAGCCGGTTAAGCTGTTGTTTGAGCATTAGTGTGGATTAGTGAAGAAACATGTATTACTGTGTATGTGTTCCTTATTAGTCAAGAGAGCAGTCTGAGTGTCTAGAAAAAAGGAGGCTTTGTCATTGCATCAAAAGACTGTACAGAAAAGCAGTATCTTTCTGGGCCTGTTTATCCTTTAGCACGATCCATATGCATGAAGCTACTATGTGGCTTGGCCCTTTCTTTATATTTTTTTTTAATTGCAGGCTCTTGCTACTCTATAAGCTGTCTTTGTGCCATGCTTTTAGGGGAAATCCAAGTCTTTGGTTAAATAGGCATTTGGCTAATAGATTAAAGCTTTAGTTGTTTAAGTTGTTTAAGAATATGTGAGGTTTTGGATGCAGTTAAGTTACTTATCGAGCTTTAGGAAGTTATCCATGCAAATCTGTCATTACCAATTCAGATACACTCTCTGTTTTTCTGTATTCATTACTCCTGCTAGTAAAAATATTTCAACTCTTATGAAAATAAATTAGTCATGCCAGGAAAGTAAGTGAGAAAATTTTGTTGTATTATGTTAGGGCTTGATATTCTGCCGGTTGGACAGGAGGTATTTCTGCTGCATCTGGTTTTAGGGGAAGGGATTTGAGAGCAGAGGAAGAGAGACATGTTTGTAAAATATAGGTTGAGATGTGCATGTACTCGGGTTTTATTGACTGAGTCTTCTTTGATAGTAGGGAGCGTTTTTCTTCTATAAATATAAGAAATTAAAGGATAAAGTTAATAAATTGAGCTTAAATTATATTTTCAGGTATTTGACACTTAAGTATTTGATTTTCACATTCATCCTTGAATGTGCGTGTTGCAGTGATTTTTAATGATGTAGTAACAGGTTCTTTTTAAAAATCCTATATTGATGTCTCTGTTGCCAGAAAAAGTAGTTTTTCCTCCCTTCCTTCCTTTCCCCAAGGAAAAAAAAATTAAAAAGAAATACAATGTTTATCTCATTACAAAAATTGTAGTGCATTTTCTTTTCGTTGTGCTTCTGTTAGAAGTTTCAAAAAAACACTGCTCACCCTAAGAAAGTTGAAAAGGAGAAATACCAAGTTGAATTCTGTACTAATGTTTTTAGGAGTTGATTTTAATTTCTGCTAGACAAATGCTTTAATAAAGAGAGAGGTAGATTTGGGGTTTTATCAAGTGAAAGAGATAAGGTCAACACTGTTTTATCTTAGCTACATCATGCAATAACAAAATTTTATGAGTGCTTTCTCTGCACTGGAATTTTAAAGCAAAATATCTGATACAATTCATATTAGCTGAAAGCTGTTGTGGGGTGCAAGCCTATTTCGTTTGTTTCACAATAAAATATTAAATTACTTTTACTGTCAGTTTTTAGTTTTTGGACTTCATTGATTAAAGCTGTACAATTGAGTTAATGCTCTTTAGTGTAAAATCATTACAGTTCCCGTTTTTTTGTGTTTTATGAACTTGCATGTATGTTGTTCAGGCTAGAAATATTCAGAGTAACTTATTGCACTCTAGCCAGATGTCCTGCAAATAATGAGTTCATTAGTACTGTATTAAAAAAAAAAAAAAGTGTCAAAAGTTAATTACCACACAAATAAAATCCTGTTAATTGAAACTGGATTCCTTATTTCTTCACCTCCACTGCAGAAAACATTTTACCACTTAGAGAAGCCTTTTATAATTTGGGTTGTTCATCTAACTACATGCCCTAATTGGTTAAGCACAGATGAATGTAAAAATGCTTAATAAGGAATTCTGTAGTTTCATCACAAGACCTAACATACTGTCTTGAAGCCCTAATGTCACACCATCATAAAGATTCGAGATGGGAATGATCTACTGTACCACCTCTTTTTTTCATTCTCTTTTCTGACAATAGTTAATGACGAGATTATTCATACAGTTAATTTTCTAATGCTTTATTCAGTCTAAGCTGAAACAATTGGACTCCTACATCTCCTTGAAAAGAGTGTATTGTCTATATTTTATTACAGTTCACTAGAGTTTATTTCTATTTTCCTGATTCTTTCATTTAGAGAGAGCCTGGAGCGTCTTTCGATGTTTAAGAAAATAGAAAGAAGACCTATGCCTTGGCCCTGCCAGCTCACTATTGGTTCTAATTTGTCTATAAGGATTGTGGCCTACAAATCAGTAAGTTCATAAAATCATCTGTTTTAGTGTATTTTGGCAGCAAGTAACGTGCAGCTGCATGTTTTTTTCTGTAAAGCTAAGAAAATAAAAGAGAAAACAACATCCAGAATAATTATGGTAGAGATTTTATGTGTGTAGAAGCCAGTACATCTAAAACTGTGGTTCCCACAGCAACTCTAACTTCACCATATTGTGCACGTATGTTAAAGAACTAAAATTCACAATGTACAGAAATAGAAATAATTGCTATCTATGCTGTGACACTTAATGGTATTGAAGTTGTCGAACCTTATTAAGAATGCTGCACTTATGTGAAGCTTTCCATTCGGCAGCAGTGATATGTCTGCAGCTCAGTGAGTCTTAGTATATATTTCTTAAGCCGTAGGCATGAGATGAATTATGCACATGTGTATGTAAAATGGTAAGTAGAAATGCTTTACCAGCTATTGTTTTGAACCACATCTGTTATTATTTCAGACTTGGAACGTAAAGGTGTGTTTTTTCAGCTTGTTTGCTTTATACTGTTTGTCAGAGCTTGGGCACAGTCTGTTTCCTTTACAGTTTATATGGATTCTTCACACAGTGCTAGGAAGAAGCGAGTATATTTAAACACAGAAAATGTGCAAAATTCCAATTATTGAATAATTAATAGATGACTATAAAGTAGCGTGGCAGCATTGGTGGATCTGATGAGATGGACATTAATTGGTTTGTTGTTTGAACGCAAGACCTTATGAGAGTCTGGCCAATATTGCAAGGTTTCAGGAAGATGTATTATGAAGTTGAAATGTACCTGATTTGAGAGATAGGCATACCAGACTTGAAAGAGATCTCTACTGCTAGCTTTCTATTTACAATATAATATAATATTTATTTCTTTTTTTTTTATTAAGCTATTGTGGCAGACCTGTACAAATATGCAGTGAGAGTCCCCTCCCAAAGGTGTTTACACAAAAGCTTGGGAGAGCAAGCAACATGAACTGAGTGACTAGCCTGAGGTCATACAGCAGTTGGATAAGAGCTAGGAATAGACTTGTGATATCTACTGATGTAATCTATGCTGTTTTTTCTGCCCAGTTCTCAATTTTTCTTCTTGTTCATTATGTATACTATCAATTTCACTTAAGTAGAGAAAAGAAAGCATTTTTCTTTCTCTGTAGCTGAGAAACATTCACTTATTGCTGATATTTATTCCTTCTTTTGCCTCTCAGTCCTGTAGGGAGGGATCTTTTTCTGCCTTTTGGGGAAGCTGCAGTAACATAGGATATTTTTATTCAATAGTGTAGTAGTCTGATGCAAAACTTGGGCAAACAAGCTGAATGAGCATTGAGTCTTCTTGTGTCTTTAACATATATCTTAATGCTTTGTCAGAAGTGTTTATGTAGGTGGAGGAAGGTAAAATACATAGCAAGCAAGTTATGTGTTGTCCTGTGACTACAAGACTTCCACATATTACTTAGCCCATGACTTCGATGAATAACCAAGCCAAGCGTGCAGTCAGTATGATACAGTTCAGGTGTGAGGTCTCACACAGATGAAGCAGTGTGCTGAAAGCACTGTGGTTGCAGAGGTGCTACCACATATTTGGACTGTCATTATTAGTCCCTTATTGGCAAAATAATGCAGCACTTGGTCTAAAAATTTTTTGCATGTTCTGGTAAGCACTCTGGAGACCACTGAAATGTTAAATGTTCCTTTTCTTTGAATTCTCATATACAGGTCACAGAAGAGAAGGTGAAAAAAATTTGGACAGTCGTGGATGCTAAAACCCTCAGAAAAGACGATGTGCAAAAAGAAACTGTTTACTGCTTGAATGATGATGACGAGACAGAGGTTCAGAAAGATGATACTATTCAAGGCATGACTTCTTTTTGTGCACCCCGGAGACAAACCAAAGATAATGGCTTATACTCTTAAATCACCTAAGTGCCTTTTAGTTTTATACTTAGAAGCCTAGCTGTGACCTTGGAATGTAAGCTTATGGAACACAGAGACTGTTATGTGAGGCTCTTTGTCTTCACATGTTTTACAAATTCTTACTTTGCCAGTAATAGGAATAATAATAATACCACCAGGTGGAACTTGGAAGGCGCTACAGCTTCCTTAACTGTATTCTGTGGAGGACCACACCTCCATTCTGTAGTGAGTAGTGCTGCCACCTCTGTTCTGTTTTCAAATCTTCAGTTTTACTGGTAACATGAACACTTTCGTAACGCTGCTTTTTTTCTGCATAAGCAACTGCTATAGGTATTCTGCAGTTGGAAAGATGAAACCTTTAAAGTAAGGTTTAATGTTCAAGAGTCTATTAGCTTTGCTGTTTAAATTCCATAACAGGTTCAACATGAAGTAATGTATGTAGAATACTTCTTTTATAACCTTCAGCTTCTTTCTGAGTAGAAATTCCTTAGAAGACTGCAGGACCCAGGAATAGCATGAAATAGTCTAGTTTTTAAAAACTGAGTTAAGCAAATATGTTTAATTTTTTGCAATAATTTAATTAACTTTAAAAAGTAATAAAATTAATAAAATCGATTAATTTTATTAATTAAAAAATTCATTTTTTGTATAGATAATTTTTTTACTAATTTTTTCTTTTATTTGCTGTTTGAATCCCACACAAGTGGGAGAAATATATTAACTATAAATGGCAGAACTATTCAGATAACAGTATAAAAAGTGCCATCAAATGAATAAAATAAATTGAAAAATGAAGGAAAATACTGTATTCTTTTAAAAATTTAACCTCTTTCAACTGTAGCCATCATAGGTGTTTTGTAGCAATAGCAGATAAAAATGTCCCAACTACAGCGTGATTTTCTTTGTTTCTTTAAGCAGAAATGATAGGTAAAAGCTAGTAGTCTGTTTATGTTTTATAATTTCAAAAATTTTAGTAAAATTAAAAAAAAAATCCACTTTTCATAATGAATATATTTTGAAGCATTTGTGATCGTTCTCTGCTGATGTTCTGACTGCCCAAGTTGGTGAGTGGTTATGGGATGCTAGTAAAAAGAAGTGATGAAAAGTTCAGTGTGAACAAAAGAGACCCAAAGTTCCTCTATCAGCAGTGTTATATTTCTTCCAGTTAAAGAGCTGCTGGTGCCTCATGGACATTTGCAGGAAAATGTGTCTGCATACAGGTTTTTCATCCAGGGATTTACCTCTGTTCTTTCTGCTTTCCTCTCATCTGAGGATGTCATCCTTAGTCTGTGCCAGTATAAGAAGTGATGATGTTACAGGGAGGATATTATAGCTTGAGGCGGGTGAATAAGCAGTTGGAACAGATGATACCTCTGAGAAACTAACAGCTTCCTATTTTGTGGAGATACACCTGTGATGTAAGGCAGGGGAAATAAAATGCAGAAATGTATAGAAAGACCACTTCTGCATACAGGTGTTCTGGTTTTCCACTGTGTGTGAGGGTGTATCTCACTTCCACTGTTAACACGTTTTGTTCTCTGAATCCCTTCTGGTGTCATTTCCTGTCCACGATTTGTGGTGTGTTTTGGGTTTTTTTGTATTCCTTTTGCAGAGTGTTGCAGTCTGTTTGCTGAAATCTATTCTGTGAGCGTAACTTTGTTGGGCAAGACGTTAGGTTCCCTTATTTTCTTTCTTGCTCATTACGAGGATAGCTGTGTTACATAAAACAGTGTACAAGGAGTGCAACTGCTGTTTGTGAAGTACAAAATGTGTCTATGGGGTGTGTGTTTTTGGGGGGTTTTTTTTTGTTAACAGGGAAAGTAATTTGATGAGCGTGTGGAGTGTAGCTGTGGGGCATGCATGCATTGTTAAAATATTCAGAAAGCTAATTTCGGTGTAAGAATTGTAGGCCCATATGCTTACCAGCTGCTCTTCTCTTGTTCTCCAGGGTTTCGCTATGGGAGTGATATAGTTCCTTTTTCCAAAGAAGACGAAGAGCAAATGAAATATAAAACAGAAGCAAAATGTTTTTCTGTTTTGGGATTCAGCAGATCCTCTCAGGTATAGTACTAAACTTCTTCCCATTCAACTTCCTGGGTTGTTCGAGACAACTGATTGTGGTGGTGTTGTATTGGGTTCCAGCATTGGGAATGGGACATCAGCAGTCAGGTATACAGAGGTGACTTATTTGCTGATTCTAGTACATGTAAACAATATGTAGTCTTGTGAAGGAGAGAAGCTCATAAATGTGGCCATAGGGCCCTCAAGTGAAGGAAGAGCCACAGAATTCGCATCTCTGCAAAGTGGAGGCAGAGGTGTTGTAGTCTCATTTCATCTCATGAATTTAAATAGTGGTACCAGATCTGCAACAGAAGATGATCTCTCTTCTGTTCTGGTCATGCAGAAGCCTTTTTGAGCTTTGTCCAGCCACAAGTGTGTTCTTTTTAACAGAAGAAACCTCTCTCTCAACGGTAAAGAAATGAGAACAGACTGCTTTCATTCTCATTTCCATAAGGATTAGTTTGTGAACTGTGACTTGCTTCTTGTTTCTACTATAACAAAACATAAATGTAGTGAGGACTTAATAGAACTGAAGTGAAGCTAACATAATTCAAAAACTCTCCATATTTCAATGGATGCTTGGTGTTTGTATGCACTCTGCCTGTACTTGTGGTGTTAACTTTGCCATTTGTTTTACTGGGAAGCTGTAAGGAAGTTACATCGAGCAAGTACTTTAATAAAAGCTATCCAGCACAAGGTGATTTCCTGCAGAAAATCCAGGGCTTAAGCATTAGGAGAGCCTTAGGCAAAGGCATAACAAACCCTTCTTGAAGCAGCACGTGTGAAGAGAAATTAGAGATGTGGGTGCCAGTAATGGCTAGAAATGTTAAGCTGCTCCCACAGTTTCTTCTCTGGGATATTGCACAGGGTGACTGAAACTTTACTCTTCTTGGAGTTAACTGCACTCAGTCCCCTTCACCACTCAAAACTGAAAGGAAATTGTAGGGCAGCTCTGTGCCTTCCATTCTGAAAGCTCCCAGCCCTCCTGCTCTTCTTTGAAATGTCTGCAGGCCCTCTGCCTGAACAAAATAGAACCCTTGACAAAGACTGAGGAATCATTACCTATCACAGGAAGGAAAGATGCTAACGAAATAGGAAGTATCTGTAGGAGCTTACTCCCAAACTGATGTAACTAAACATGTTTTTACTTTACAGTCCAGGTGGCAGAGGGACCCCTGCATGTTGCTAGATATGCCCGTAGAGTACTGCAGTGCGGTGGTCTAAAGCATATTATTTATTAACTGAGGAACCAGGAAGTTATGTTGATTTACTGGAATGAGAAGCCATGGGAAATGTAACCTGGTTGTTCCTTGAGGACTTTCAGAACTCGAAGTTGTTAAGTAACACAGGAGCTTGTGTACTGAAAGTGATTGATTGAGGAAACATACCATGCTTGAGCTTATATGGCCTAAATTGACCAGGGCAGAGAGATGTTAGGGACTGCTAAATCCTGTACCAGAAACTGGGTCTAACAAGTGAAATGTTGTGTCTGAACCTAGCGTTTCAGTGAGACAATTTATTGTATCTCTTCATGAGATATTAGCCTACAGCTGAGTCTCACTGTCTTCATTTAATTCTGTAAGATGTATTTCACCATATGCAGCATTTTCTTATGCTAGAGGCTGGCCTGTTTTGACTTGAAGTCTGACTTTTATTGAAAACAGAAACTAAGAGGAAAACGGATGAGAAGTATTATGCTCCTTAACTGAGATGTTATTTCACATGTATTTTTTGGCCACCACTGGTCAGATAGTGTGGTAATACCTTCAAATACATAGATAATAATTAATTGTAGGAATATAATTAGTTGTAGGAATACTTTTGATTCACATAAACTTGCCTTAAAGAATTAACAGATTTGTTTTATGTTTTTTCCAGTGCATAAAATATTTATTGGTTTTGATAATTTTTCATTATTTGCTTCTCTTCTCTGTGGATTTCATAACAGATGGGAATTATATCTTAAATAAGGTGTGCTCTGGTCCTGTAACTAGAAGCGTGAGTGATCATGCCCAATAGTAGTTATATAGACCTCAGTAGAATAAAATTATTCAGGTGTGACTGCAAGATTAAAATTACACTGTATAGATAATGATATCAGGAAGTTTTCAACTACAATTGGAATTCTAAAGACCCATGCTTTCCTATGTTTGGGCTCTTGAATGTTGTTTGGAATCATAATACTGACACTATTCAAATGTATGTTTTATATTAAATTGTTTCTTTTAAAAACTTTGGAGAAAATATAATCTACTATTAACTAGAGAAACTGGAACAGCTCCAAATGCATAATTAAAGAAAAAATAGAACCACCTCATTGTTTTTCTGAGTTATTCACATGCCTCAGGAAAGAAGATCAGAGGCCGCTTAAACTTTGATTTTTAATTTATAAGCAATGCCATGTGAATCAAGAAATAATACTTGAAAATATTACTAAGGGACTTTTCTTTTTGCAAACCAAACAAGGTTTAGTGATACACAATTCCAGATATTTTTACTATACTGAACATAAATTCCCTGAGCTTTTAAAGACAGAACAGCAAAAAACAGTTGTAGGTAGAATAATCTGAGTTGAAGAATTGTGGTGTAATACATTAAACACATCTGCTCTGGTGCAAGTTGTCACTTGACTTCAACAGCATTATGGTAATTTGCTAAATAATGAAACTGCAGATTAGTTTGGAGACAGTGTAATTTGAAGAGATTTTTCTTTAACAAAGAAAGGTCATTTTAACCAGTGTTCGTAGTAGCGTGCAGTGTTTATGACAGGTTTTCCACTATTATGGTGTTTCTGTGGGTGTGTCTCACAGCCTCTGTAGCTCCAGCTATTCCTGCAGTGCCCCTTAATGAAAAGGTTTTGGGTTTTTTGTTTGTTTGGTTGTTGTTTAAGTTGTTTGTTTGTTTGAGTCAGCCATGTTCATGAACAGCATAAACTGCTAACAGAAGTAATTCTTTGCCAGCACAGCTGTATATACTCCAGGTTGCTGTTAAAGTAGCTTTATTAATTAAGGATGTGACTTCTTTCAGCTCCTTTTTGACATGTCTTTGCTAGGAAAATTTAATAGCATAGATGTGGTGTGATTTAGGTTTAGGTCTTTTGTTAACTGCTGTGGTTTTCCACACTGATGTTTGAATTCCTGCAGTATTATTCTGACTGGTAGCAGCTACAAGTAATGTAGTCTTTCGTTCCTGCC